CATCCCTACTATCCACCGCACATACCCAAAACTCATCCTCCACACAAGCACCACCACATACTTGTACCCGCTATACGACACAACCTCAGGCACTCCAAGCCCAACATCAAAAAAATACCCCGCAACCTTCGTCCCCGCCACAAACACTGCCTCGACAACCACAAGCCTGCTCACAACAAGCCCCAGCCGCTCGGCACTAAACGTCCCGCTTATCCCCATCTGCAGCGCCCTCACTACCACATACGACACAAACCCCATCAGCGGCACATACAGCTCCGCCCGCCGGATCTCCTCGCCTCCCTCGCTGCTCCACTCCGCATTCCTGAACGGAAAAAACATCAGCGCCAGCTTGCGTGCAACCACTGCGTTGTCCACTGCAAAGTACTTGCGCAGCAATGCAAACGACACTCCGTCAATCTGCTTGACATATGCAGACCCCTTCCTGATTGCTTCCCTGCCTATTTCTATTTCCATGGGGTCTGCCAACAACAACATCATCATGCGAATGCTGTCTGCTGCAAACCGCACTACTCATGCACACTGCAGCACACACATGTGCAAACACACAATTCCTCATATTCTACTTGTATCATCATAAAACATATTATATATGATGCTCTGCCTCTTCAAAACATCTCTCAGCTCCCCTTGCTCCTCCAAATACTTCTTAACTGCGCTATCTTTTTCCTTACTTTCTTTCATATATTTGATGCCATTGAAGTCTTCGTCAGCTTTTGTCGTAAAAAAAGCTCGAAATGCGGGCGACTTGAATCCAAAAGCCACCTTCTTCAAGTCATTGTATATATCTACCACAGAATTAGGAAGCATACCAAGGGATCAAATCAAAACACATTTCAACGTCAGTATAGCTCCACATATTTAATTATTGCTCATTTCTTTTTCAATTATTCCCTTTGTTTCTGCAAAATAATTGAAAATATTGTCTTTCAGCCTACACAGTATGGATTGAACTGCAATAACATCATTCATGTGCTCATTCTTCTTCTTAACAACCTCATACTCAATGCTCTTTGCTAGCCTCACATTCTCTTCAATCCTCTTTTTCATTACATCCCTTTCCTCAGAAACCGCACTGTAGTTGCTTTTAAGCCTTTCAAGCTTCTCAGAAATTTCTTCCGAACATCTCTTATCATTGTCTTGCAGATTGAAAATCTTCGATTCAATATGCGAGATCTGCCTGTTCACATGGCTCAATCTTATTCTTAGTGCATTGATTGCTGAATCAATGTTCTTTACCTGTGCCTCCAGCTCGCTTATTTCTCTGTTCGTTCTTTCAATTATCTTATCCGCTTCCTTGTTAGATATTGTCAGTGTTATTGCTTTCATCACATCACATTTCAACAGTCCTGTAAACTCAATCTTCTCCTTCATGCTCGTCCTTTTGGCTTCTAGTCCCCTGATTACATCCCCCTCCTTCACAATAAGGCATCTCATCTCTTCAAGCAGCTCCATAAGCTTCGTTGGATCACTCACAACCTGGGTCTTCAAACACGTTATCTCTTGTGTAATGTTCAGCTCCATCAGCTTAAGCGAGCTCAACTTGTCGCTATGCTCATCTCTATTGGCCTTTGCTCTTTCGGTCTCCTGCACCAATGCTCGTTGATGCTTGTAAAACTCCTTAAGATCACATTCAAGCAATGCTATCTCGTTCACAATCCCCCTCTCCTCTTCTTGGCTTTTCTTAACTTGCCTCTCACACTTTTCAAGCTCCCTTTTCGCACTACACATCTTTTCCTCAACTTCATTCTTCAAAAGCAGCTTCTCATCATTCATCTGGCACACTCTTTCATACACATGCCGCTTGTTATCCCTGAACATAGAAAAGTTCACTACTACACTCAATATTGCAATCAATCTTTTCGAGTCCGGCACAAGATCCTTCAGTCCAAATCCATTAAATCCTATCTTGCCAAGAAACCATGCCATCTTCTTCTGCAACAAAACATAGATTAGAGACTCCTCATAAGCCATTCCACCTTCCGCCTCGCACATCCCGGCAACAATATCAGACACCCTTATGCCACAGTAAACATCCAGAAGCGTCTCATATATCCTCTGCGCCGATTGAGCCGTTGGCTTAATAATATCGCTTGCCTTCATGCCTATCTCCATTTCGTTGAAGTATTGGACTATGTCTTTCACAGGAAGATCCGGCACTGTGTATACGCTTCGTGCAGCCTTCTGTGTCCTCATGGGCATAAACTGCACACCTATTAAGACCAAGAAAAGCAAGCATTCAGCACATAATGCAATTATGCACACTCAAGCATGTGCAATAAGGACACAAACACAAATAAATAATGGCTTGTAATTGAGAATATTAAAAAAATTCAAATCACCTCACAATGTTACAGGATGCAGTCCAGGAGCTTAAATGCAAAGTTGAGAACCTTGATATTTCTGGATACCAAAGGGTCGAGCTATCGCAAATATCCAAAGACATGATTGGGAAAAAGATTAGGACATTTGGATGGATAGAAAGCATCAGATCACAAGCAACTATCACATTTTTCAACTTGTATGCACAATACAAATCAGTCAAATGCGTATATCTTGTAAAAGCACATTTGACAATGTGCACATCAGTAGAGATATATGGAACAGTCTCGAAGAATCTTGGTAAGGGCGATGGGCATGAATTTGAAATTCAGGTTGATGGGCTTTCGATATACAATAACTCGATTGCGCCATCATTTCCGCTAAATGAGGAATCGTGTACAAACTCGATTCTTCACAATGGGCACCTTGCACTGCGTACAAAGAAAAGGCAATTTTTTCTGCAGGCAAGAAGCCATCTTCTGAGGGTTATAAGGGACTTCTATTTTGAAAGCAAATACACAGAAATAACGCCGCCAACAATGGTGCAGACACAGGTTGAGGGAGGAAGTACGCTTTTCAAGCTAGACTATTATGGGGAAGATGCATTCTTGACACAGTCATCGCAGTTGTACCTGGAAACAGTAGTACCTGTTGCACACCGAGTTTATTGCATCATGCCATCGTACAGAGCAGAGAAAAGCAGAACAAGAAGACACTTAAGCGAGTACACGCATGTTGAAGCAGAATTGGCAGATATATGCTTTGATGATTTGATTGCATCTATTGAAAATCTGATTTCATACACCATGCAAAGATTCTATGATGAGATGAAAGATGATATTTTGAGTGTGTATCCAAATTTCGAGTTCCACAAGGTTCCCACACAGCAGTTCAAAAGAATCAGATATTCTGAAGCGATAGAGCTGTTGAATAGTAAAGGATACAAGAAAGAGGATGGAAACGACTTTGAGCTTGGAGATGATATTCCGGATGCAGCAGAAAGGTATTTGGTTGATATTGTTGGAGAAGGCTTCCCTGTGTTCTTAACACACTTTCTTGTTGAACACAAATCGTTCTACATGAGGACTGAGGAAAGCAATGCCAAGCTAACTCTAAGTGCAGATCTTTTGTTCCCAGGCATTGGAGAAATTCTTGGAGGATCAATGAGGAAAGATTTATATGAAGATCTTGTGGAAGGATTCAATAGGGAAGGCATTTCGATTGATCCGTACTATTGGTACCTTGATATGGCAAGGTTTGGCCCTTGCATGCATGGAGGATATGGGCTTGGGTTTGAAAGGTTCATGATGGGAATTATGAAGTATGAGAATGTTGATAAGTCAACCCTATATCCAAGAAAACCCTCAAGATGCCAGCCATAGCTTGCATTGCTATGCTTGAAGTAAAACTATCTTGAACTTACTATATTGCTTTATTTTTACATAGAGGCGTTTTTGATGTATCCTTGCACATAGTATGATTTATGGTGTTGTATACTTTAGATGTATTGTATTGTAATGTTAGTTTGCCCATGATTCAAATTCAAGGTTCGATGGCCTGAGTAATGATAAGGTATGGTCTAGATCAAATTTCTCATTTGATGCAGAATCGCTAAAGAAACGGCTTGATGATACCACAACGTTAGCACCATACTTTCTGAGCTTTTGCACAGCATTTTCAGTATGCCCAATCGAAACGATTTCATGGGCAATGCAGTGCTTGAGATACTCACTCGAACACATTCGCAACCCATACCGGTCTCTTGCATACCTAACTGCCATTTCATACTCTTCCTCATGCTCAGAGTCCAGCAGAATCAATACTCGCGATATGATTTCTCCAGAAGACAAGCACACAGGGAATTTCATTCTATACTCCGCTGCTTTTGCGATTTTACATTCTCTTCCCTCTGAAATGATTCTTGATTGCAGTCCAAGCAGTCCACTCTTACTATTGAACCTTTTGATTGAATCAATTTCATTTGCATTCAGAACCTTGATTCTTGCATATATGTGGAAAACAGCAGCAAGCAGTACATTCTTTGCATCCTGCAGAGAAATATATTCGTGCAGCAGTTTTCTAAGTCCTGAATGTGCAAGAAAGCAGTCATCGACATGCCCTGACCTTCCAAACACCTTCTTCACCAGGCTTGCAAATATTTCTATCCCTATACTTCTTATGCGCCATACCTCCGAACAAATGCAATTTAAAGCAAGCTTAAATAGCTCGGTCATGCCATAGGTTGATTGAAGGATGTTGTATGCACTTCCAACCACTCTGCTAATCACATTCAAGCAGTGCACCTTTACATTTTCATTTTCAGATTCCATTTGCTCAAATACAGCCCTAAGGACACACTCTGCAGCTTCAGGATAGTGCTTTGTAATGGACTCAAGTACCAATGCAATTCCTCCGCTCTTTCTAAAAACAACCTTGCATTTTTTGATCCTATCAAACACTGTTTCAACAACCTCCATGATCTCGCATTCACGAAGCCGAACTCCTGCAAAAATGGCATTCAGATGGTCTGCCGCAAGCAAGAGGATGCCTAAGTGATTAATGTTCAGCAGTGTACCAATTATTCTCTGCATGGAATGCGCCCTGTCGCCTCTTAGCGCCATAGTGCAGTAGTAATGGCTGCATTCCTTCATATTCCTCCAATATGCCACCATATCTTCCGATTCGCTTTCATCAATAGCATTGCTGAGCTTCTGGAAACAACGCTCATAAATCAAGTCAACATTCTTTATGATATCATATCTTGCTGCATAAGAAAGCAAATTTATCAATCCATGCACAGGGTAGTCCAGCATAGGCTTGCTGTGATTCACAAAATCCATCATATATTCATCAAGCACTGCCTTCATCTCATCCATTATTTTATCGCGGGCATTTATGTTTTCAATGCATCGGACATAATCCACGCATCCATAAACATCGTGGTATTGATAGCTCCTTATTGCTCTCATAATTTCGTCTCTATCAATCAGCATGCACTTGCTGTGCATTCTAGAAATCATCCTTACTTCGTAGTCTTGATCAAAAAGTAAGTTACTAAGCGTATGAAATCTCACATACTTTTTCTTTACTAATACACCGGTCAGGTGCATCCCAAGAACTCTCCTTGATGCATTGCAAGACAGAACCATTGGAAGTATTACCTCAGAATACAGCATGTGCACATCTTCAATATCTCTGCATCCTCGCATCAAAAACATTTCGAAGTATCTTGATGCCAGTCTTATTGCATTTCTATTCTCAATGAATTGGTTGACTTTCAAAAACATTCTCATTGACTCAACACTATAAACATGCCTAAGTGACTCAATCCTGACCTCTAGCTCCTTGTGCACAAAGAACCCTTTAGCATCATGTACCTGCACAGGCAGAAATAACCTAACGGGTGATTTGCGCGGTATCTTTTCCAGAATCATGTTGGCTCTTTTTTCGTCTACTCCTGCAAATAGCTCTCTGAGATGCCTATATCCAGCTTCGCTAAACTCTTCTGGAAAGCATAAAAAAAAAGTCGTGTCTATCTCTCGTAGTATCTTTTTGGCTTTCTTAAATGACTCCTCATTTATATACGAAAACAGTCTTTTTGCCATCGCCCACGACTCCGAACTGTTTGTGTCAAGACTTGCTGAGTCAAGAATGCACATATCCAACAGCCTCTCTGCACCAAATTCCTCAATAATATACTCCAGTCGGCTCCTAGAGCATTCTCTAAGTATCTTTACTATTATAGGTTTCAGGTAGCTCAATGAAAAATAGTTTCTACATCGATGAACAATGTCTCTGTTGCAAATCCCGTGCTTAGCAACTAATTTGTGTATAATTGAAAATATCGCAAGCAGGTTGTCTCGATCTGAGCCCGCATCAATTGACAATACATAGTGTGCAGCTTCATTCGCATATGGCTTGAGACACATCTGAACAAGACAAAGCTTTAGCTTTACAAATATATTATACTCTTTATAACGCCACACATGTCCAGATCTAACCACGCATCCGTCACTTGCTGCAAAAGAGATCTCCTGGTTGTACTCAACACGCAGCGACGATATGCAGTCAACATTTGCCAGTCCCAGCCGATTAAAACTCAATGCCAAGCCAAAAACATCCTTTGAGCATCTGTCTATGGCCATCAGGGACATAAATGAAATGCTCAAATACAAGCAAGCGGCAGTGCAAAGAGGCTCACAAACAGCATGGGCTATACCCCACATGGACGATTGCATTGATTTGAAAGTCATCGAAGAGAATAAAGTTGATCTGCAGTTTGCAAAGACAGAATTAAAGAAATTTGTATCTGAAAACAGCTTCTTGGACGAAGTTCAACAGCTTCAGATTGAAGAGCTACTAAATCACATATAGCTAGCAGTGCAAGCATGTGAAGCGGCACAATATAATAGTAAAGAAACAGGACTGAAGTGTATATTTATGCATTGTGAAAAGTGCATACGCCAATAGATACATCCTGTAAACTCAGATCGGATTGCTGCATTGATGCATTCATTTGCGAACATTCTACTCTGCAAAGACTTCATAGGATGAGCTGTGTTTATTTGGGATTTGAAGTAAGTTAAGAACAAAAGTAATAAACAATATGTCTCAGGATATTTTGGAGATTTCTAGCTTTGCAAGCTGCGACCAGAAGGCGTACGGATTTGGTGTGGCTTCACAGCATTGGCAGCTCAAGGATATGCTGAGAGTCAGTGGGAGGTCCTTGGTTTTTCCAAAAGAATGCAATGTGATGTCTTATGATCTTTCCACATGCATAACTAGCACAATATATGCAGGCATGGATTTCTTGCCTACTGCGATTTGTGTGAAAAATAGCATGCTGGCCGTTGGAGGAGCAAAGGGGCAATTGAGCATAAAGAACCTTGCCACTGATGAGACGACCTCGCGAGTAATAAGCACATCAATAAATAACAACATATGCATTCACGACGACAAGCTTTTTGTTTGCAACAACGACAGGACATTGAGGATTCTCACGATGGATCTCAAGAACGAGCAAAATATAATGCATGTTGCACAAGTAAACAGCTGTGCAGTCAGTCCCGACAACAAGCTTCTGGCTGTTGCTGGCGATTCCAATGATGTGTTTGTGTATTCGCTAGAAAGCGAGGGATGCAGGCTAATAATGAAGCTGAAGAGTGCAAACGACGGGGGCTTCAGTGCTGCATGGAATAGTTCATCTTCTGCATTTGCTGTTGGAACACAGGATGGATATGTATGTGTATGGGACATACGAGGCAGTGGTGTTCTTCACAGGCTTGAAAGCAAGCAGAGGGATGGCCACCGAGGTGCAGTAAGGAATGTGAAATTTTCGATGAAAGGCTCACTTGATCTTCTTTTTTTTACTGAGCAGCTTTCGTATGCCACGATATGCGATACAAGAGACATGCGAAGGATTCAACGGATTAAGATATTCCCAGACAGGCAAATAACAGGAGCAACGTTTTCTGAAAACAGTGAGAAGATATTTGTAAGTACGGATGACCAGGTGAAGTGTTTAAATATCAATACGAAGCCGAGGCGGATGTTTGCAGATGCATGATTGCATTGGCTAGCCGTGTTAATGTATGCATGTGTATTGAGGCATGCATGGCGAACGCACAGGAATGGTACGATGTGTTTTGCTGTTAAGCTATGAATTTTTTGCCCAGGATGAAGGAAAATTATTACAACAAGAAGAAACTGAAATATCTTGAGATGTTAAGATCAGGAAAGCCAAAAAAGAACTCAAGGGGGCAGGTAATCAAAGATGCGCCGTTTCAGAAGGCAAAGGCAGAAGCAGGGAGGATAGAGCCAAGCAGGAAATGGTTTACGGGTACGAAGATAGTCTCATCTACGGAGCTTGATGCATACAGATCTGAAGTGAAGGTGCAGACCCCGTACAATGTGCTTCTTAGTGCAGGAAAAGTACCATATTCACTTCTTGAGGATGGGTGCAGGAAGAGAAAGCAGACTAATGATTTTGAATGTGTGTTTGGAAAGAAATCGATAAGGAAGAAGCCGACGCTTGGATACAGCAGCTTGAAGGAGCTTTCTCAGCAATTGAATCATGAGAAGAAGGAGAGCATTGAGCTGAAGAAAGAGTTTGTGAAGGGGCAAAGCCATAGGATATGGCTTGAGCTGTATAAGGTTCTTGACAGCAGTGATGTGATTGTTCATGTTCTTGATGCAAGAGACCCTTTGGGGACGCTTTGCGACAAGATATCTGCATACATTAAGGAGGAGGCGCCTCACAAGCATATGATGTATGTGTTGAATAAGGTTGATCTTGTGCCTACTGGAGTAACCGCTAAATGGCTAAAGTATTTTTCGAAGTCGCATCCTACAATAGCATATCATTCGAGCTCAATAACAAATAACTATGGAAAGGCAAATCTGATTAACCTTCTGAGACAGCTGAGCAAGCTGTACAAGAAGAAACACATGAGCGTTGGGTTTGTTGGGTATCCAAACATTGGCAAAAGCAGCATAATAAACACATTAAGGAACAAGGCAGTGTGTAAGGTTGCGCCTGTTCCGGGAGAGACAAAGGTATGGCAATATATAACGCTTACAAGAGGAATATACTTGATAGATTGCCCAGGAATAGTTCCGATTGCAGATTATACTCAGGCCATACTCCGAGGAGCAATTCGGATTGAAAACATCGAAGAACCTGAAATGTACATTGATGAAGTGATTTCCAAGGCAAAGGATTCGATGTCAAAAATATATGGGATTGTGTTCAACAACTCGATAGATTTACTTGAGAAGTTGGCAATAAGATTTGGAAAGCTGCTGAAAGGAGGAGAGCCCAATATCGATGCTGTTTCTAAGATGGTGCTTCGTGATTGGGTTAGAGGAAAGATTCCATACTACACAATACCTGCTGATGCTACTGATGAGGAAAAGAACTAAAGCTAGGCAAGCAAGAGCATGATATAAAAGAAATACCAAGCTATTGGCATTGGCAATAAAAACCAATTCAAGTGAATGCTTGAATCCAGAGCATGTTCATTGAACAATAAAAACAATCTATATTCAAACAGCCTAAGCATTATTCTATTTATTACCATTTGCTAGCAAATACTACATACAATTTTACAATCTGCTGAGTCCACTGTCTGAAAGGGGAGATATCATACTTCCCACATTTGTTTCTATATCAGCAAGCATTTCCTTGTCTGCTTCAGAAACAAAGCTGATTGCTACACCCGCTCTTCCAAACCGACCTGCTCTTCCGATTCTATGCAAATACGACTCTGATGTCTTTGGAAGATCAAAGTTAATCACATAGTTGGTGCTTGGCGCATCTATGCCTCGCGTGATAAGATCAGTCGCAACAAGAATCTTACATTTTTCCTTCAGAAAGCTATGGAACACTGCATTCCTGTCTTCCTGTGCCATCTTCGAATGTATAAAGTACGATGGCATCCCCATTTCTGTTATCTTCATTGCAAGAAACTCGACTGTTTTTATATTGTTGCAGAACACGACACACTGATTGACACCCGATGTCTTCGTAAACAGCGACTTCAAACACAAAAGCTTATCCACTGGCTTGACATGCACATAGAACTGTTTAATCCCAATCGGCACAAGCTCCGTCATCAGGTTAATACACAACGGATTCTGCATGCATCTCTTCATAAATCCAGCTATGAAATACGGAAATGTTGCTGAGTATAGCATCATTTGCCTATTCCGAGGCATCAGCTCCAAAATACGTGTAATAGTCCTTCCAAAAGTCACATCCAACAGCTTGTCTGCTTCATCAAACACAAGCATTACGTTCTTCGACAGCATTACAACCTTTTTTTCAATAAGGTCAACTATCCTTCCTGGCGTTCCAATCATCACATGAACTCCATTCAATATTCGAATTATGTCGTCTTGCATATTCGTCCCCCCAACAACAGGCGTTGATAATATTCCCAATCCTTCATACATCTTTCTAAAACACCTTGCAACCTGGAGCGCAAGCTCTCTGATCGGAACAACAATTATCGCCTGTACATTCTTATCTAGTACATCCACATTGTTCAGAATCGGAATCATATAAGATGCTGTTTTTCCTGTTCCGTTCTTAGACCTAACCAGCAAACACCTTCCATTAAGTGCATGGGGAATCGACTTAGCTTGAACAGGCGATGGAAAAGCATATCCCATCTCATCAATCTTCTTTAGAACCTCAGGTTTCAACCCAAACATTCCCCAAGACACGCCCTTCGTTTCGCTTACATCCCTAGACAGCGATTCCATTGCATGCCCCTTCTCTTCAAATGCATTATCTTCGCAGGCCTTCTTACTATTCTTCACATCTTTTGCTTCCTCAATACTTAACTTCACGCACCTTGGACTCGCAATCCTGAGATCTGCAAGCCCCTTGCAAATCAGAGAGTTTGCATTGTTTTTCCCCTCTGCGCGCATAAATTCATTCTTCATATCTGTTTCTTTGCCATGCGCCCTTTTATCATTCAATTTATGCTTCCTGATGATTTCAGCCATGATTTGTATGGGCATCCTAGTATAAAATATGTTTGCTACGCTTCAATTGCATCTTTACATTGTATTAAATAATCTCTTAGTCATCAATGTCCTCTGCATTGAATGCATAATCATATTCAAACTCTGATATCATGCAATTGCACAATATACATTCTTTTTTGTTGTTATAAACACAATTATCTTTAAGGCAGCGCCTGCATATAATATGGCCGCACGGTAAATTCAACATAGAATCAATTACTCGTGAGCCATTATTATCCGTGCATGTTTGGCATTTGTAATACATACTTTCATCGATGAAGAATTGCCACTTAAATGCCATTATCATAATCCTGAATGTGTTCAGGTTATGCTCAACATCGTCTTCTAGCTCTAGCTCTTTCAACCACATGCTTATGTCTTTATAGTCATTCACTATCATTCTTCGAATATCCAGCAGAACCAGTAGAATATAATTATACAGGGATATCTCAGTTACTGGAAACATCTTACTAGGCATCGTAACCTTCTGCTTGCAGTCGTATTCAGGCATCTCTTCGGCCATAAACTTCTTCAGATCCTGCACATATTTCTTCGCAATTGTAATATCTGTCGGATATTCAACATCGCCACTATTAAATTTATCCATAAACTCACTGGCAAGGTCTTCAATATATCCCCTTTGACGTCTACAACTCCCATCATCCATCACAAGCTTGCCATTCCTATACGTGTTGTCAAAATAAATCTCGCTTGAATAAGCAATAACTCTTATCTCAACCATCACCTGCTTCAGAATCCTTGCTACACAATTCTCATCTACGTCATCTTGTCTTTTGATTATTCCTCGCGTCTCAATACTTTTAAGAAATTCAATCGAGCTAAACACCTCTATCCCGCTCACCAGCAAATCCTTGTAGTCTCTCCACTCGAGCTCACCAACACACGCCGTTTTTTCCAGGCACCTTTCTTTCATTTGAAGCATATACACGATTAGTATCATGTCCAGTACAAAAATAACAACAGCTAGTCGTCTCTTCTTTATTACCCTTGTCATATGGCTCTTCTTCTCATTCATTTACATATGCTCATCTAATCCACATGTTAATCTAAGCCCATCTTCTATTACGGAGAAAGAAAAAAATCTCCTCTATCCGCTCCCTCGTAACCCCGCTCTGCTCATAAAACCTCTCTAGACAATTCAAATCAACTCTGGGCTTCGTGATGTCAACAGAGCTGGCTGCTATCGGATTCAGATACATTCCAAGCAGCATCGCTATTTTCTCTTCGGCAACCCCATCATTCCTTACACACTCCAGCGCCTTCACAGGCCCAAATCCCTTTACTCCTGGCGTATAATCACTTCCAAGCAAGTAAGATAGCATTACCAACTCCTTTCTATCAAGGCCAATCTTCTGTTTGATTCGGTCCAAACTGTATCGCTCAATATCTCTGTTTTTCCTGAAAAAGTGCCTGAAAACAACTCCGCCGTAAAGGAGAACGTCATTGTCTTCCGTTATCACTCCGTCAACCATGTTGTTCAGTGACATGAACCCACACTGTGAATCAGACTCCATTGGAGAGTCAACATATGGAATGTTGAACTCCACGAGTACCCTTTTGACCTGCTCAATCACCCTATTCATTTTATGTAGATGGACTGTTCCATCAGAGCATCCTATCGGCTTCAAGACCTTTCTGAAGTCCTGCGGACCATCCTGATCTCCAAATTCAGAATCTGCAAAAAAACCTCCCATACTTCTTTCGCCCTTGCACTTCATTATCACCTCATCCACCTTATTCTTCTCTACGCTCAATGCATCATCGACCTTCTGGATGGCTTCTTCACAAGATACATTGTCAGAATATCCATACTTGTTTGTCAGCTCACTAACGATCAGCCGAGACTCCATACACTCATCATCTTCAAGATACTCATGCATTTCGTGACTTGATGTAATCCATTCGTCTACTTCATCTGCATCTGTATCACATGCTTGATCATATTTGACTTCATCTACACTATCTTTCTCTTCTTTCTTCTCCATATTGACATATCTTACTCTCTTAGTCAATCCATAAACAACCTTACAGTCACTTTGAACAATCTTAGCTTCCTTTTCTTCCATCTTCCTTATACTCTGGCATATGAAGTTCCTTTTCTTTAGATTCTTGATCTGTTGTGCAGAAAACACTTCCATGTCTCCATAGTCTTTTTTTGTTCGTATCTTCCGTCTGTTCGCTCGAATATCAACCAGCTTCCTCAGCTTCTGCATTCTGGAAATCTCCTTCGATTCAACAAATCCAAATTCCATCTCTGGTTCACTTTCGCTACTCTCTGCCTTGCCATTTACATCATTACAGCTATCATCCTCATCATACTCAAAATCATCCGAAGCACTGCTAGATCCTACTACTTCATCTTTACCATCCATCTCATCAAAAACATCTCCCCATTTCTCCATGTGCTTTTCATCAAACATGCCGTTTGGATCAAACACCACCTCTTCACCTTCCCTATCCCCAAGCTTCATCTCAAGATACTTGACCGGATCGCCCATTGCGCTCTGCCTTTCTCGCAACACTCGCTGCTTGACTTCTGGCGCTTTTCCATCAAAAACAAACACAGGTTGTATTCCATGATACAACAACTTCACAACTCGCATCGAAAAAAAATAAATCACATCCTCATTCCTGAGATGCCAGTATGCGCCAAGCCAAATGCTTGTGTCAACAGCAAGCTTCATGCTTGAGGGTATGATCTTCTCTCCAGAAGACTGGATGATTTTCCACAGCGACCTTACGCCCATAGGTATGTGGGGTGCACACCATCCATCCTAATATACATCACATCTGACGTCTTAGTGTAAATGCATAGCAAAGCAATATTTATTTCTCTGTATGCATGACTACTGCTTTGCTGGATTTTTTGCACTATTCATTATCAGCTCGACTCTTTCCTTTATGTCTGATGCTGCCTCGGGCGTTATAAACACGCATGTTTCATTTATATCCTCAATAACGAAGTTTTCTGATTCTCCTAGCTTCAGTATAACTTCTTTAACACTCGGCTCTGTTCTGAGGAAGTATCCCTTCGTTGCATTTACCATGCAAGGGCCAAAGCGTAGCAGCGTGATGACGATTTCATCGGATCCACGCCCTGCAATGAAACGAGTTAAAGCAGAAGATATCGACATGGACACCGTTACTGAGTACTTCAGGGACGTTGTGGCTGTCCCAACAGAGACGGTGTATGGATTAGCTGCAGACATAAGATGCGCAAAAGCAGTGGAGAGGATCTTTGAGTTGAAGGGAAGGCCAAACGACAATCCATTGATTGTACACGTGTGCTCGATTGAAATGCTGAAAAGTGTTATTGCAGAGCCAATTTCCAAGGAGTATCAAAGATTGATTGATAGGTTCTGGCCAGGTCCTCTTACTTTGCTATTCAAGGCAAGCAGCAATGTTAGCCTCCAGGTAAGAGGAGGGCTTGACACGGTTGCTGTCAGGATGCCTAGCAACAAATGCTTCCTGGGCATCATTGAAAGGCTCGGGGCGCCTATTGCAGCTCCATCGGCGAATATAAGCGGAAGGCCAAGTCCTACGTCTGCAGATCATGTCATAGAAGACTTTGGGGAGAGGATTGAGCTAGTGATTGATGGAGGACCGTGTTCAGTAGGATTGGAGTCTACTGTTGTATCGATGATGGAAGGCAGATTGCATGTTTTGAGGCCAGGAGGGATTCCGCTGGAAGATCTTGTTGAAGCAGCCTGCTGCGATGTTGTTGTCAGCAGCAAAATGCTAGAGGATGGAAAGGCATACTCGCCCGGACAGAAGTATAAGCATTACTCGCCATCTGCACGATTGATTTTATTCAAAGGAGCGGAGAAAAAAATTGGAGACGGTATGCAGAAGTACATATTATGTAATCCGGATGTTAAGAAATGGGGAATAGCACTACATTCGGACGTGTGTGTTGGAAAGATTGATGAAAGATGCATTAGCATTTTTGATATGGGGCGTGAGAAGAAAGTCATAAGCAGGAGGTTGTTTGAATGCATACGAAGCCTGGACAAGGTCAGTGAAGTTATTTTGGTTGCTGGAGTGTCATTGAGTGGAGAAGGAAGCGCAATTATGGACAGACTTGAAAGAGCATCTGACATGGTTGTTGAATGATATGGATGTGCTGTGGATTCGATTTGATTAAATACTGGAGATGGACAGATGTGTTTTTGGAAGAATTTGAATTAGAAACGGAAGTGGCTGAACCCCAATGGAACATTTACTTTTTGAGTATGCAGGAGGATATGGGCTGTTTGAGCTAATAGCGTATGAGGACATGTCGAAGTCTTCGTATGAGGAGTACATGAGGCTTAGTCAAGTGGTGAGGTACAAGTCTGGAATGCAGTTTGAAGGAGTGGGAGATGCACTTGAGCACATGCGAAGTCTTTCGAAGGGAGAGATACACACAGAGTTGAAGAATTTTCTTGAGCTGAACAGAGTGAAAGTAGTTCATTGTGATGTATCACTGAAGAAGGGGCTTGATGCGATTGGAATCAAGCATAAAAGCAGTGAGAACATTATGCGGGGAGTTAGGATGATGTATGAGAAGCTGATGAGGCTGGAAGGATATGATAGAAGGCAGATGGAGCTTGGGCTTTCGCATGGATATTCGAGGGAGAAGGTTGAGTATAATGTGAAGAGGGAGGACTGCATTGTTATGCATACAGTGATGCTGCTTGATCAGGTTGACAAAGATATAAACTCGTATTCGATGAGGATTAGAGAGATGTATGGATGGGTGTTTCCTGAGCTTGGAAGGAAGCTGAAAGAGAATGGAGAGTATGTGAAAGCAGTTAAGTGGATGATAATGAAAGAGAGGGGTGAGCTAATGGGAGAAGAGATAGGCGATGAGAGGATTGGAGAGATTGCAAGGATGAAGGAAACCAGCATTGGGATGAATATATTGCCTGATGATTTGGAAAACATGAGGAAACTAATTGAGGTTGTTGAAGAGAAGATTGAGATTAGGAGAGAGTTGAACGAGTATCTTGGAAGAAAGATGGGTGTTGTTGCGCCTAATCTGGCCGCGATTCTTGGGAACTGCCTGAGTGCACGGATGATATGCCAGGCAGGAGGGTTATTTAATCTTGGAAAGGCACCAGCATCTACGGTGCAGCTTTTCGGGGCAGAGAAGTCGCTGTTTAGATCTTTGAAGATGAAATCGAGAACACCGAAGTATGGGCTTATATATGGAGCAGGGTGCTTGTCTAGGATGAAGGACAAGGACAAGGGGAGAATGAGCAGGTATATTGCGACAAAATGCTCGATAGCTGCAAAGATAGACTGTTTTAACAAGGAGAGGACGTCTATGTATGGCATGGAATTGAAGGAACTGATTGATAAGAAAATACAGTCTTTGCATTCGAAAGATGATGAGAAGGTTGAGGTGACTGCTGATGTTGTCCAGAGGGTGTTTGATAAGATTAATGGAAAAGAAAAGAGTAGGGATGAGGTTGAGAATGAAAGTGTAGAAAACAAACCGAAACGAAAGTGCTTGAAGAGCGACATTGAGGATGTTTTTAGATTTGGAAAAAAGAATTCGAAAAAAGGCAGCAAGGATGAGAAAAGGGTAAGTTTTGATCTGACACGAAATGCAATCAAAGAGACTGATAGAGGGATTTCGAAGTTTAAGAGGCGAAGCTAATGCAGCATGGTATGAGGAATTGTGTGTTTGCACATGTGTGTGCTGCAGTGTGCATGAGTAGTGCGGTTTGCAGCAGACAGCATTCGCATGATGATGTTGTTGTTGGCAGACCCCATGGAAATAGAAATAGGCAGGGAAGCAATCAGGAAGGGGTCTGCATATGTCAAGCAGATTGACGGAGTGTCGTTTGCATTGCTGCGCAAGTACTTTGCAGTGGACAACGCAGTGGTTGCACGCAAGCTGGC